CCGTTCCTGGTGTGAGGAGCCACAGCCCCACCCTCCTTCTCTGCTGCCTCAAGAGCTGATCTGCCCCAGGGGTTCCTCCTTAGGGTGCTTGCCACAGTTTGGCTGCTGGAGGCTGTGAGGAGGGACGGTGTGATGCAGCTGCTCAGAGGTGGTTCCCCCTCCAGAAAAGATTCCCTTGCTCTGCCTGCTCAGGGGCCCTGCCCTGGGCACAGCCCAGCTGTGACTCCCAGCACTGCAGGGTTCTGGGGGCAGGGGGATGCAGAGCAAAGGGTCAAGGTGCCATACTGGCCTTTGTGCTGCTCCCACTTCTGAGCTCCTTATGCTGCACGGTTTCTGGAGACATACACAGCCTAAGGAATGAGAGGAGAAAGGTGGATGGGCAAGGATCAGCCTTTATGTGCCTCAGTGCTCTCCAGCTTAAAGAGGAGAGCCCAGCTCCACTCCCCATGGCCCCTCCAGCCCTCCTTCCCATGCTGCTGCTGTCCTGATTTCTGTTTTCCCCTGTGCCTGAGGATCCTCAGGGTTCCTGCACCAGGCACAGCTGCCCTGGGTAGTTTGCCCAAGGGCCTTTTGCTTTTGCTTTGCCCAACTCCTGTTTTATTGGACTGGGTGCCTCTGTGCCACACAGGGCAGGCAGCAGTGCAGGGTCCAGGGCTGGCTCCTGCTGCATCCTGCAGCCCTGTCCAACTGATCTCCAAGAATCCCTCAGAGATGGAGGCAGCTCCCAAGGCAGCAGAGAATTGGAGCCTTGTGTGTGTTGGTAAATCCCAAAGCACCCTGGGTTTGGGCCAGTGCATCCCACTGCAAATCAAACCCTGAACATCCTCTTGTCAGGGAGCCCCAGCCTTGGGAATGCTCCTGCTGAGCCTGGGAGCTCTGTGGTGAGGAAGGAATTGCAGGGGAGGCTGGGCAGCTCAGGCCAGCTCCCAGCACCTTACTGTGGGACCAGCACCAGCAGAGGGGGAGATGTGGCTCCCTCCAGGTTTTATGGATCAGTGGGAACAGCACAGCAGTGGAGCAGTGTGGGCTCTCCTGCTTAAGGTCTGCCTCTTCCTCCAGCCCCTTCTCCTCCTCAGCCCTAAAAGCTGCACCTTTCTGGCAGCAAAGAGCTCAGGCAGCCTCAGCCCAGCCCTGTCAGTAACACAGAACCAGCAGAGGCAGAATCCCTGCAGAATGGGATGTGCTGAGTGGCAGAACCAGCACAAAAGCAGAATCCCTGCAGAGAGGATGTGCTGAGTGACAGAAGCAGCACAAAGGCAGAATTCCTGCAGCCGGGGTGTGCTGAGTGCCAGCCCTGCTGGCTCTTTGCTGCTGCAGCATCAATCACCAATTGGTCACCTGGGAAACTGCTCCATTCTCCAAGTGTGACTGAAACTGGGCTTCCTGGGTGTTTTGTTGGGGGATTGATTACCCCAAGCCAGAGATTAAAAGGAATGTGCAATCTGACTGCTGTCTGTGCATTTGTCCAAGCCCAGGGGCGCACCTGGCCAGGTGTGCAGAGATCCATGGCTGTGCCTGGAAGGGGAGTGGGCCTGGGGTGGAGGTGAGGCAGCCCTGAGCTGTGCTGGCAGCCCTGAGCCTCCTCAAGGTGGAACCAGTGATGCATGAGGGGGTTGGTGACGTGTGTGTGTCACACCCTCTTGTGTTTTCCACAAGCCTTGGAGCAGCACTGGCTGGAGAGCAGGGAGAAACTGAGGCACAGGATGGAGCCAGCACTGCCAGCCACAGTAAATCCCAGTCCATGGAAAAACATCACTGGCAGGAACCTGCCCTTCCCCATCCCAAAAGCCAGTCCTGGTTTCTGAGCACTGAGCACCCTGGACTCAGCAGCACACAAGCACCTCCCACCCACACCCACTCCAAGCCTGTTTCCATTTTGTTTTCTTGAATTTTATTCAATTTTGCATTAAATTCTCGCTGTTTTCCAGCCAAAATTACATAGCTAACAAAGAGTAACAGGAGGAACGATGATGTAGGAATCCTTGTCACCAAGGTGGCACAATCCAGTGGTACAGAGCTGTGGGGGCACATGGGCACAGGCAGGCACCGAGGTTACAGGTGACACAGTGCCAGTGAGAGCAGCAGGTGACAAGTGAGATTTGGGACTTGGCCAACAGCCCAGAGGAGCACCCCAACAGCTGCCCTGAGTGCCCTGAGGCAGCTGCTCCTCCTTTCCAGCCCCAAGTCAGCTCAGGCTGCAGGTAATCCCAGGCCACTGGCACTCCCCAAAACAGCTGTAGCAGCAAGTGTTAAAGCCCAGTTCTCCTTTGGTTTAAGTGCAAAATCAAAGAGTTCACATGCAGGTTTCACAGAGACATTGCAAAGGAGGGATGAGCCCCAGCTCAGCCCTGGCTGGAGTTCAAGGTCCTTCACTGGAGGAAGGATGGCTTTGGCAGGACCCTGGTGGTGGTCAAGGCTCTTGGGGAAAAGGGTTGTGGGCCTGTAGCTCTCATCAAGTCAGGTCAGATTTAAGCAAACACTGACTTGAAACATCTCCCACCATTTTTCTTGATGAGGAGATGAGCAGGATTCCCACAGCCCTGCCTGCCTTGGTTTCTCTGCTGTGGCAGTGCTCATGGTGCCATGGGAAAGGTGCCTCTGCCTGGCTCCATTTCCTCTCCATCCTCCCCCAGGACACAAGAGGAGCATCCAGCTGCTCCAGCTCTGCTTCAGCTCTGAGCTGGTGCAGCAGGGTTGGAGAAACTGGGGCTCCATGGAAATGTCACACCAAGGCTTTTCCCTTCCAGTGGTGTCCATGACCAGTGAAAGACCCTGGGCTGGGGACAATGCACCAGCTGGCACAACACAGTGAGGAGCAGTAGATCTTGGTATCAGACTGCCCCACAAAACCTGTTTAAAGCCCAGAGCTCCCTGGAGCCTTGCCCCAGTGCCCTGGAGGCTGCAGGGAGCTGTGCTAGCAGCAGGCCAGTGGATGCAGGATGAGCCCAGCCCTGCAGTGATGATGTGGCTGCTGCCGTGCTCCTGCAGCTCTCCAAGCACAAAAGGAAGCTCAGCTGCTCTGTGGGCAGTGGTGGATGCCCCTCCCAGGCCTGCCTGCATTGAGTAACTCCAGCATCACTTCCCCTGCAAGCCCCAAAGCTCCTTCCCACTGTGCACAAGGTGCCAGGGCCCCTCCAGACAGAAAGTAAGTTAACACCCTCTCCCCAACCCCCCAAAATTAAATTAAAACCAAGAACGAGGTGCTGAAAAAGGAGGAGGATGAGTCCCTCTGTGCACCAGGCTGACCCTCAGATGTGTGACATCCATCTGGAACATGACAGACACCTCACCCAGGGCATGGACACAGCCTCTCCAGAGCCAGACTCTCCTCATTTCTACCATTGGTGCATTTAATTCAACAGCTGAAGGTTTCCTTCCTGGGCAGGCAGTGGCTGTTGGAGGGACCTGCCCATCAGATGCCACTGCCACTGTCCTACTGAGCAGGAACAGGTCCTGCTGCTCCTGCAGGAACAGTGTCACATCTGCTGTTGAAAAGCTGTGTGATGACGCCCGGGTCTGCCAAGGTGGAGATGTCTCCCAGCTCGTGGTCATCTTTGGCAATCTTCCTCAATATGCGTCTGGTGATCTTTCCTGTAATGACAGCCAAGAAAGGGAAGCAGGAGTCAGAATCCCAGGATGGTCTGGGTTGGAAGAGACCTTAAAGATATCTCTTTCCAACCCCCTGCCGTGGGCAGGAACAGCTTTCACTGTCCCAAGCCCCATCCAACCTGGCCTTGGACACTTACAGAGATCCAGGGGCAGCCACAGCTGCTCTGGGCACCCTGTGCCAGGCCTGCCCACCCTCACAGGGAACAATTCCCTCCATATGTCTATTTAATCTACACCTGCCTTCCACCCGTTTAAAACCATCACCTCTTGTCCTTCATTATCTGTCTATATAAAAAGTCCCTCTCTCCAGGAGTCAGGATCTCTTCAGCATCCTTAGCAGAAGAGGGAAGTACCAGACCTGCACATCCTGCTCACCCTGAGCTTGTACCTCCCCCTAATCTCCCTCTCTGGACCAGCAGAGCAGGGCTGCTCAACTTCCACTGGCAGGAGCTGTCCAGTCCTGCCCTGGAACTCACCTGAGCGCGTTTTGGGCAGGCTGGGGGCGTACTGGATGTAATCAGGTGTTGCTATGGGCCCAATTTTGTCTCTGACTGCAAAAAAAGGAGAGATTTTCATTGTAGGGCTGAGGAGAAGCCACACATCCTTTCCATGATAAAAGGACAGAAGGGTAAGACACAGAGCCCAGCTCCTGGGACACCTGGCAGGGCAATGCCTGGGGACAGGAAGACCTGCAATGCCAACAGGGCCAGAAGCACATCTCCCCAACACTGAGATGACTCATTTTTTCACTCCCTCCATCTTCCAGACTCCTCCCTAACAGCTACAACCAACACCATGACCTTGAT